TTTATTATTTGTTTTATTAAAAAAATTATTCATGATTATTTGTGAGTTTACAGATATACAAAGCTAGGCTTTGCAGGCAATAAAGAACCTCAACTTATAATTCCATCTGCAATTGCTATTAAAGAAACAGCAAAAGTTGGAGATAATAATGCTAGAAGAGTTACTAAAGGAGTTGAAGATTTGGATGCTTATATTGGAGATGAAGCTTTTGAAGCTACTGGCTATTCTGTAAAAGTATGTTACATATTATAAATTAATATTTTCATTGAAATATATAATGTTTTTTAAATAGTTTTATAATTTATATTCAATTTTGTACAGTATCCAGTTAGACATGGATTAGTAGAAGACTGGGATTTAATGGAAAAATTCCTGCAGCAATGTATTTTTAAATATCTTAGAGCAGAACCTGAAGATCATTATTTTTTACTTACGGAACCACCATTAAACACTCCTGAAAATCGTGAATATACTGCAGAAATAATGTTCGAGTCATTTAATGTACCAGGTCTTTATATTGCTGTACAAGCAGTATTAGCATTAGCTGCTTCTTGGACAGCTAAAACAATAGAGGATAGAACATTGACAGGTGTGGTTGTTGATAGTGGAGATGGAGTTACACATGTAATACCAGTGGTATGTTTAAAAAAAGAGAAATATGAAATATATATATAAATATAGTGTAAATATGTGAAATATAAATTCACATATAAATATATAACAAAAATACACAAAAAATATTTTGTAATTAACCAATTTATTCTATTGCTCAGGCAGAAGGTTTTGTTATAGGAAGTTGTATAAAACATATTCCTATTGCTGGTCGCGATATTACATATTTTATTCAAAGTTTATTACGAGAACGTGAAATTGGAATACCACCTGAACAATCATTAGAAACAGCTAAAGCAATAAAAGAAAAATATTGTTACATATGTCCTGATATTTCAAAAGAATTTGCTAAGTATGATAGTGATCCTACTAAAATAAAAAAATATGAAGGTGTGAACAGTATTACAAAACAACCATTTGTAGTGGATGTTGGATATGAAAGGTTTCTAGGACCAGAAATATTCTTCCATCCTGAAGTATATTTATTTAAATTTAAGTACAATAAAATAAAAAAAGAAGCATAATCATATTTCTAATTTTATTATCTCTTTTTTATTTTTTAGTTTTCTAATCCAGATTTCACGACACCATTAAGTGAAATTGTAGATGATGTAATTCAAAATTGTCCAATAGATGTTAGAAGACCATTATATAGCAATATTGTATTATCAGGTGGTTCTACAATGTTCAAAGATTTTGGTAGACGATTGCAACGTGATATAAAACGAATTGTTGATGCACGACTCAAACTTAGTGAAACATTAAGTGGAAGTCTTATTACGGTATATATTTTATATATTTTAATAAAAAAAAAAAAATAATATCAATATTTATGTTTCATTTTATTTTAGCCAAAACCTATAGATGTCCATGTTATATCACACCACAAACAACGTTGGGCAGTATGGTATGGTGGTGCTTTATTGGCTAGTGATCCAGAATTTTATACAGTCTGTCATACTAAAAAAGCTTATCAAGAATATGGTCCCGGAATTTGTCGCTATAATCCCGTATTTCACAGTATGGTGTAAAATAAATAAGAATACAAATGACGTTATTATGGACCAATGGTCTCTGAATTTTAAATATTTTGTTAATAAGTTGATCGATTTCTACTTTTTTCATCTTTGATGATATATTTTCTTATATAGTATTTCTATCGTAATTATTATTACTAATTGTAATAAAATTATTGAAATACGCCAATATCACACTAGTAAACGCACACAAAAAAGAAGTTTTATGCTCATCAATTATTATATTGATATATGCCAATATTCATATGTCATAAAAATACAGAAAATTATTTAAAAAAATAAAGGTCACACTGCATTAGAAGCAATGATTAAGAATAGTCGATAAAATTATAATACAAAATGATTGTATAGATCTGTATATAAAATAAGTCTATTTGAAAATAATAATTCTTTTTTAATGAATCATATTTATAAAATATATATTTTACATTGTTCTATATGAATACATTTAAGATACTAATAAAAAAAAAACTATAATTCAAAAATAACATTTTAATACAAATATTGAAACAATATAGTTTATTTATTAGTTATAGTATGTGTATGTAGGTATGTATATATATATATATATGTATATATATATATATATGTATATATATATATATAT